CCAACACTGCAGTCTCAGGAGGAAAGAGACTCTTCATGGCTTAATTGGGACATACTGAAGCATTCTGGGAGATTTACAGGCTATTTAATATTAGACATGGTCATGGTCCAAGCAGTTTTTAAACCGAAATGATTTCCACATAAATAAGGATACATTGTGTAGATGCTTAATCGCGTTGTGCTGATTTTAAAGAGCTCCTATCATAGAATTTGAAATGTTCCTATTTTAGTTTTGGGAGTTCCCAAAAACAGTTTAATGTGCATGCAAGGATAAACAGTTTATTTGTCTTATAATATGCATTTATTTTTAACTGATTTGCTCAACGACTCCCAAATGATTCGTTCGACGATTCATTTTCCCAAACACCTCCTTTGAGTGACGCGAATCTGCGGCGATTGTTCAAATGACCCAGTCAGTTGTTATTGGTAAACCGTAGGCAGAGACTGTCGGCAACGGAACGCCCATAACCAGGATTATAGCTTGTCAAGTGTTGAAAATTGTCAGAAAAAGTACACTTTCCACACGGTCCCTTACTCGCGTCTCCGTCAAGAGCGAGCTTTCCCGGCGATATTCACATTGCGGCGGCTTTTGAGGGACAGTGCTTATTATATAGAGCGAAGTCATATTTGGCTAAGTCGTTTAGGAGGTAATTGCCTTTTTTCAATGAATGTGTGGTGCATATCAAAAACAAAACTAACTTTACCCCGCTTAGAAGCTGCGCGGAGAGTACACAACACAATATAACTATTGTGCATGCTACAGAAAACGTAACAGCAAACATTATTAATATTACTTACAGATTGTGATTCGGAGGAGGACGAACCTGATCCATATACACTGGATACTGAGCCCTCCTTCGGGAACAACCGGCTTGCGAATGATTCGTCATTATAATTGGTTCGGGCTATACTGTTGTGGTATCATTGCAAATATGAACTCTGACCACTGATTCTTCACATGCTCGTCCCTGGACAATGAAAACAAGTGGCTGAACTGTCTTTGCAATGTAGAGCACAGCGTCTTCTCGACATGATGCGATTCAGCTGAAGTATTTGAATGTGTTCTAGACGTCACATCAAGTCTGCGGGCGCAGTTGTTGGGAGCGGTCAATGACCTCTCTACGTCACGATGTAACAGCTAATGTAACAGATGTAACAGACTCGTTTCAAAAACAATTCATTTCATAGACTCAGAGTCGACTCTCACTTTTGAAAGACAATAACTTTATATACGGTGCACTTTCAGATATAAATCTTTGCAGGATGTTTTCATTCCCTTAGAGCTATATTCCACACTACATGAACAGTCATTTTCAAAAATCCATGATACAGTAGGTGCTCTTTAAATTCATTTCTGACCCCTGAATATTACAACATGGTTTTGTAGTAACCAGAAGTATTAATCTTTGCTTATTTGTTTTTGCAGGGTTGTCGCACTTTATTAATGATTTAAAAACGAACTTTGTGGCAGTTATGCTACACTGCCCTTACGAGGGCATATGCGAAGTCAGCGGAAAACAAAAATGCTTTGAGTTATCTTGAGGTCGCAACACACACGCGCACCTTGGTTTTTCCTGCACCAGTTTTAAGTAAGATTAAATGCATACATTTCGAGAGGATTAAAAGAACAGCGGGTAGGAATGCACAAGTCTTATAGCTCCAGCTGATCTGGTATTCTGCTGGGGTTTTGGCCCCTCACAGGTCTCAATGGAGTGTGTTAGGAAACAGATCAGCACTTTAAAGTGCTCAAGCCTACGGATATTTCCAGACCCAGGAGTTTTGTCGACATGTGATTGTCTTCATTAGCCCGTGGCGTGCATGTGTGTGGTACAGTGAAAAAATACAAATCAGCAAGTTGTGAAGGTGATTGACAGATTTGCAGGATTAAGAGGAGGGGTTACTGCATCACTTCATTGGCAAACCAAACAGAGGTTAGACTGTAGTCACCAATAAAACATCACAAGGAAGTTGGAGAACGTGGGATCACAATGCTCAAGTCTCCATTCTCAGTTTGTTTCCAGAACAATCCAGCTACTGTGTCTATGAGCTTGTCTGACAACAGATGTTTGTACATTTGATGGCATTAATGCAAGATGAAATCACACACTGGATTGAAACAGTCACATGCAAGTTGACATGCAATCGAAATTGACCCTTTTTACTTTTTGCAAATTATGCCAAAGAAAATATTTGAGTCTTTTAATATTTAATCTCAACTTGTTCCTCTCAAAATATTTTTCTTGCTGATGTCACTTTTTTTAAGCAGCACTTGGGCAGGATACTAGGCTGTGTGAACCAAATTTTGTTGTTTGTTAAAGGTTGGCTATATAGGTCTTAGCTGTGTCTAGTGGCAGAATGACAAGAGCCGTTTCCCACTAGCACAATATGTAAAAATGGAAAAGTGCCTTAATTTTGGTATCTCTTATATTTTTATTGGCTTAATGTGCGGTAACAGTTATTCTCACGTCGACCCTCTTGAGTGTTTGGCACATCATCGTTTGTTAGCTATCTGTAAAAACTCTCACTGCAATATTTATGCCAAAAATCCCTCCTCTGCATTTGATTTCACCAACAATTGCCCAAAACTGCTAAATCTCTCTTTCATCCTTTGAATGGCAGGAGTGTACTGTACAGTCATGCTTTTAGCTTCTTCAGACATGCAACAGCAGCCCTTGACAATTCCCATGGTTCTGCAAATACCATATGACCATATTTATAAACCGGTTTGTACATAAAATGAAACTACATTGTCATGATTACTCAGAGATAAAATAACCTAGCCAACAAACTGGGTTGGAGGTCGCAGATTCTACCTGACCTAAAGCCATAGCATTCATCTAAAAAGTTCATGACCAGAGGCACATTTAAGGCACAAATTGCACAATATGTAAGCATTTTTGATTTAAAATATAAAAAAAAGCACTTGAACAATGTTAATTATTTGATTTGTCTACTTTCATTATCCCAAACAGGGGTGGACTGGGACCAAAAAGTGGCCCTAAACTTTCTTACCCACAGCAGCCCACATCTGACATCATAACACATTGGCCCATTAATGATTAATATTAATTCATATAAATATCTATCCATCTTTGTAAATTAAGCCTGGAACACACCAAGCCGACGGTCTGCCGTTGGCCAGTTTTTGTGCGTCGGCCGACTTTTCTCAGTATGTTCCACACCGTCGGCTGAAATTGATTCTCGTCGGCTTTTTTTGGCCGATTCGACATGTCAGTGAAAGAGGGAACTCTGATTGGCTGATTAGCTTAGTGAACGAGTTTGTGCACTGCATGATAATATTAGCAAAACAGCAAGCAAATAAGTCGAAACAGCACAGATAGGCCTGTTCTAAATAATGTTATCTTACTTGAGTTTACCTTAACGAATATTTCAATATTAACATGTGGAATAAAGAAAGTGTTTAGCAGGATTGATATTCAAACCGTAAGCACGAACTGCTTTGTTTACAGTGTGTATCTGCGCCCTGTAGCGTCAGTTTCTCTTTTTGAATGACGAATATAGACGAATATATCTGCAGAAGTAGACAGTTGTCTCATTTACACGCAGGCGCAGAACATGCTGACAGTTGGCTGTAGTTCTCTCGGTGTGTACAAGTGCAGCTTTTGTTCCCGCGACACAGGCAACAACACAAGCTTTCATCTGCGCTAGTTCATTGGCGTTGGCTTGGTGTGTTTCCAGGACATGAAAAATGGCGTTTCAAGATATGCAATGGAGTAGACCAAACTAATTAACGGGGATATGCTCACATGCACACACACGAAAAACACACGCCTTGTCGTCCGCGCCTGTACGATCGATTTCCTCATCCATTTGCGTAGAAAACAAAATGTAATATTATGATTTCCAACATTTTTATATTTGTGTACCAGGCCGGCCCACATTGGCCAGCGGCCCACCGGCAAAAGTCCCGGTGCTCCAAATGGCCAGTCCGCCCCTTATCCCAAATGTTTCCAACAATATTTAAATCCAAATTTAAATTTGCATAGCTCAACAATATTGTTTGAACATTTTTTTGATTTACCACAATTTACATGTTTATACCCAAGTAAATTAGACGACACTATTTTGTCAAGTGGTTTGAAAAGCAGAAATGGCTTTATTTGTAGTAATACATAAAGTTTTTTTCTCCACCATGCAATTATTTTTAAAACATTGACTTAGCAACATAAGTCATCCAGCTTTTATGAATATATTCTAATATCGATCTAGCTTACTGCAGTGTGCAACAAGTCAGTGTGTCCTATATTAGCCACAAGGCAGAATAATGTTAACATAATCAAATGTATTCTTATTTTGATTGTTTTGACCAAGTAAAACTTTGCTTCGCTTAAACCGTAGCCCCTGAAGTGCATGGGTCACCCCACACATTACCTCACGGTAGTTGCATCATTCATAGCAGCTATTTGAGTTCTCCGGTAAGTAAGATCTGCCTGAAGCAACAAAGAGAGGACTTAATTAAAACGGGACTCCTTACCCCCATCTGTTTTATCCTTTCTGATATATGAACCTTCCTCCTATCTGAGGCCCTGACAGTGATTTAGCCTTTACCCCTCCAAGCACGCATACCAGCCTAGACCATGAATTTCATGCTCAAATAAACCTATTCTGTGCTCTAAAGGCAAAGAGAGTCAGAAAAGACTGTTTGTGTGTGAAGGCATTTGTGCAAACATCTGTTCTTTTGATGTTTCTAGGTCTCGTATGTTTGTGTGTTTTGACATCAGCTCTGTTAAAGAGTAACTAACTTATAGCAGTTACGCTCAAACTACAAGCTGTTTACACAGTTTTTTTTGTCCATTCACATGCTGTACTCTTGCTCTGTCCGCGTGGATAACTTTCCCTGAATTGGATCTTGTCCATTGTGATCTACAGAGTCTGACCGTTCACAGAATTAGGGTTGTGATCTGTCATGTGAATCATCTTATTTCAGTCTATGCTTGTGTGCCGCCTTCTGTAAATCCTTCTCTTTTTTTCCCCTCACAGACTGATCCAGTTCGCTTGAAGCTCAGCTGATTCTTCTCTTCTTCGTCATCATCCTCATCAGTGTGTGCGTGTAAAGATGCCGCCAGCGACAGGAGGGCCGGTAGGCTACACTCCTCCTGAGGGCGGCTGGGGCTGGGCAGTGGTAGTAGGGGCCTTTATCAGCATTGGCTTCTCCTATGCCTTCCCCAAATCCATTACGGTGTTTTTCAAAGAGATCGAGGTGATTTTCGATGCCACCAGCAGCCAAGTGTCATGGATCTCATCAATCATGCTGGCTGTCATGTATGCGGGAGGTCAGTTTTGTTTTACTACTTTCACTTCTGTCCTGCTTGGTACTTAAAATGCCACAGTCAATTATTTAATTCTTTCAAATTCATCTTTGATCACCAAAATGGCACATTTAAACTTTTTTTGTGCATTGTTTTTTAGTCATATCTTAAAATGAGCTATGAATCATTTAGTATGGTATGAATATACAAATGAGCCCTGCCTCCACTCACTCATACATACAGGTTCGTCTCTAGGTCGATGTATCAGAATCATAGCTGTCAACCCTCCCGTTTTTTTTCGGGTTTCTCACGTATTTTGGCTCTTTTCCCGCTGTCTTCCCGTTTTAGTATTTTCCCGTAAAATATCCTGTATTTTTACGCTCTGATTGTGTGAGACTTACAAGCTCGGACAGATTCGGCTTGAAGTCGTTCTTCCTCGGATGCACCGCCGCGTGCGCTGGCCGGAGACAAACTGGATGCGTGCGTCCCAGCTGCGTGGTGTCCGTTTTTTTTTTTTTTTTTTTACTGTCTGGTTTTTATTTCGGCTCCCATCTTAACAGATTAGAGCTTCCACACTGCCTGCGTGACACGCAGCATGAGCCGTGTGGAAAACGAGAAATAGAAATAGAACCGACGCCTATTTTTCACGCGACACGCAAGCGTGTTGGAAGCGTTTCCATGAAAAAAAAAAACGATGTTTAGCCTATATGTCAAATACTTCCATTATTTTTGCCTATATATAATTTCATGTAATTTTTTTTAAACAATCGAGTCCTGGTGTCCACTACAGAGGTCATAGCATAACATAGGAATAAAATATCTTTATTTTTTTTTTTCATTTGTTTCGTATGCTCTTAATAATGTGATTACATGAAGAAGAAGAAAAAACTTTTGAAAAAAGTTCTGGGCCTCAAGAGGATATAATGATAGGATTGGCTACAATAACAACATAGGCCATGTCCACACTAATATGTTTTCGTTTGAAAACATATATTTTTCTCTCAGGTTTGGCCTTCCGTCCACACTGAGACGCCGTTTTCAGTCAACAAAAACGTATCGTTTGGAAAACGCTCTCCAAAGTGGATAAATTTGAAAACGCCATTTTTCGCGTTGTAGTGTGGAGAGTGAAACCGGAGGTATTTCAAAACGATGACGTAAGTTTAGTCATGTGATCCATGTAGTACCAATAGATATTCATGTTTATCGGTATTGTGCCTGTTATGTGTTATTCATTTTTACACTATTGCTAAAATATGTTACTTTCTATGTTACTTAATATGTGCTATTCTTCATAGCACAGCACTGCAAAGATGACAGATAATGTAGCTTACTCACATTTGCTGTCCTGCGGCAAAACAGGAGAGCAGTTGCTCCTGTTCAGTCTTTTTAGACCAAACATATGGTGACTGAATGCGACCTGGTTGCATCAGTGATGGTGAGATATTTTGCCAAATAAAATTATCCTGTTATTGTGCGATAACATTATTATTTATTTTCCCATCTGTATCATCTCAGTGAGCTTTTGTGAAGTTTCACACATGCGCAGTAAAGTGAATTTAGAAGTTTCTCATCCACACTGAAACGGCGGAAAACACCTGAAAACGCTAGTGTGGACGGAGAGCGTTTTTAAACGAAAACCCCGTTTTCAAATCTACCCGGATTAATGTGGACGTAGCCATAGTGTCTTTCGTGACGGTCCACCATCAGGGTAAATATAGGCTCTTTAAAGCTACACAAAATGTGTAAATGTTATTGAAATAAACAGACAGCCCACTTCCCAATTTTGCGGAATTTGGAAGATGTGATAACAGTTGAAATTGTTGTCGTAAAGGCAAGAGCAACACACAACTAATCCAAATGTAGATTATTTTTTTTTTCTTTAAATGATACACTGTCTCTTTCTCTCTCACACATATCTAGTTATAAACTCTGTACTTTTTGTGCTTTATTTTTAAAGTTTGTGGGTGTCTAGAGTAAAATAAGCTAAGTTTTTCTAACAGGCAATCACCCAATGTTGTGCTGATTTGTCATTAGACTGTTAAAACGCTTCTTTTCTTCAATGAATTTTTGGTTTAATGTTTGAAAAGTTGCAGAGTCACACTGTACTAGGGAGGGATACAAATGTACACATAGTATGACTAATATTTGCAGTCAACTACCACGTCAGAGAAAATGTGGTTGAGTAGACTGATGGTGTCACTTCCTGGTGTCTGGTTTCCACCACACACTATATCTGACTACATTAGGTTTGTGTTGCTTTGAACATAGCCTGAACTCATCAGAGGCTCTTCCAGTCACCCATGACCTGGGAAAGGCAGAGTGGGGGATGGCTAAGAGAAAGATAGAGAAGGGTTGCTATTTTTTTTTTCTTTCTTGTGAACCAGTCGTTGTAAATGTGACCTGAATTCAAAAAAGTGAATGTTTGAGAGGAAAAGTGTAGTTTAATAAATATAAAAAGTTAATGCAAATGAGCATGTGCTGTAACCTAATGAATGAATCAATCAATCTCGGTATCATTCAAAAGTTAGGGGTCAGTATTTTTTATTTTTTTTATTTTTTTTATTTTTATAAACATGGATGCATTAAAGGGTCATTTCACCCAAAAATGAAAATTATGTCATTAATGACTCACCCTCATGTCGTACCAAGCCCGTAAGACCTTCGTTCATCTTTTGGAACACCGTTTAAGATATTTTAGATTTAGTCTGAAAGTTTTCTTTCCCTCTATTGAAAATGTATGTACGGTATACTGTCCTTGTCCAGAAAGGAAATAAAAACATCATCAAAGTAGTCCATGTAACATCAGTGGGTTAGTTAGTATGTTTTGAAGCATCGAAAATACATTTTGTTCCAAAAATAACAAAAACTACGACTTTATTCAGCGTTATATTGTCTTCCGGTTCTGTTGTCAACAGAACCAGATTGTGTTGTTGTTTTTTTTTGTTTTTTTATCAAATAAATTTAGCCTAGTTAAAAAAAAATGTTAACATCCCTAAACTTTTGAATGGTAGCGTATGTTGTCTGCCATTATTTAAAAAAAAAAAAAAAAACATTATTAATGATACAGTGGGGCCAAAAAGTATTTTGTCAGCCACTGATTCTGCAAGTTCTCCTATTTAGAATGATGAGAGTGGTCTGTAATTTTCATCATAGGTACACTTCAACGATGAGAGACAAAATGAAAACTAAAAAAACTAGGTAATCACATTGTTGGATTTTTAAAGAATTTATGGTGAAAAATAAGTCTTTGCTCAATAACAAAAGTTCAACTCAGTAATTTGTAGCAATCTTTTTTGGCAATGACAGAGGTCAAACGTTTCCTGTAAGTCACCAGGTTTGCACACAAAGTAGCTGGTTTTTTGGCCTATTCTTCCATGCAGATCTCCTCTAGAGCAGTAATGTTTCGGGGCTATCGCTGGGCAACACGGACTTTCAACTCCCTCTACAAATTTTCTATGGGGTTGAGGTCTGGAGACTTTCTAGGCCACTCCAGGAGCTTGAAATGCTTTTTACGGAGCCACTCCTTCGTTGCCTGGGCGGTGTGTTTGGGATCATTGTCATGCTGGAAGACCCAGCCACGTTTCATCTTCAAGGCTCTCACTGATGGAAGGTTTTGGCGTAAAATCTCACAATACATAGCCCCGTTCATTCTTCCCTCAACGCGGATCAGTTTTCCTGTCCCCTTTTCAGAAAATCAGCCCCAAAGCATGATGTTTCCTCCCCCATGCTTCACAGTAGGTATGGTGTTCTTCTACCTTACTGGTAGAAGTTTCAGTGTTTATATAAATCAGAAAATGTCAGATACTGCTGGTTTATCGAGTGGTGTTCCTCAGGGTTCTGTCCTGGGACCGATTCCTTCTGTATATGCTCCCTCTAGGACAGATAATAAGCCAGTTTCAGGATGTCTCTTATCACTTGTATGCAGATGACATTCAGTTATACTGTTCCTTTAAGCCTACTGAGTTTTTTTAAACTGTCATCTTTAATGAACTGTCTGAGTAGGATCAAGCAGTGGCTGAATGACAACTTTTTAATGTTGAATTCAGCCAAGACTGAAACTTTAATTATTGCCCCTGAGCAGAGCATCCCTCAGATAAAGAAACACATTGGTGACTTAGGTTCGTCTGTTCAGCCCAGTCTCAGGAGCTTAGGTGTTGTTTTTGATGCGGCCATGTCTCTGGAGAAACACTCGAAACATCTTATTAAAAACTGTTTCTTTCAATTAAGGAACATTTCTAAGATAAGAGCCTTGGTGTCAAAAGCCGAGTTGGAGATGATCATTCATGCTTTTATCTCGTCTCGCTTAGACTATTGCAACAGTCTTTTTATTTGCCTTAATAAGAAGGATCTTGGTCGTCTCCAGACTGTCCAAAATTCTGCTGCTAGGCTTTTAACCCACACGAGTAAAAGGGCACATATTACTCCAGTTTTAGCTTCACTTCATTGGTTACCAGTGAAACTTAGAATAAACTTCAAAATTTTGGTCCTAACTTTTAGAGCCCTACAAGGACAGGCACCCCCATACATCTCTGACCTGATACAGCTGCGTACATCCTCACGTAGTCTGAGATCAACAGGCCAGAGACTATTAGTTGTCCCCCTTTCACATTTTAAAACTAGGGGGGACCGTTCATTCCAAGTTGTTGCACCCAGGTTGTGGAACGCTTTGCCTCCTTCCATACGCGGCTTGGATTGTGTGGAAAAGTTTAAAAATCATCTGAAAACTCTGCTTTTTAAAGAGGCTTTTAACTAGATTGTAGGGTGGTTAGGCTGGTCTAATGTGTACGTATTGTTTATTTTATTTATTTTTTGTATTTTGTTTTGTGATGCAATGTATTTATGATAGTTGTAAATGCGTTCTTTTGTTGTGAAGCACTTTGTGATCTTCGTCTGAGAAAAGTGCTATACAAATACATTTTACTTACTTACTTGGGATGCAACTCTGCATTCTTCTAAAAAAGTTTTTACCAAAAAGATCTATTTTGGTTTCATCTGACCACATGATATTCTCCCAATCCTTTTCT